GCATGACTCTTGTTCCTTTTTTCCCCAAAAATATCTTAGACATTAGTATTAACTCAGCTTTCCTTTGTGGATCATGGATAAGCTCTCTGTTTGTTGTGATGCTCATTGTGTTGCTTTTTTATTATCATTCTCTCTCCATCACCTGCTAATACTGACTCTCAGAGATGGCAGGACAGGACAGAGAGGTGGTGCCCATGGCCAGGGAGCATCATCTTCAGAAGAGGAGCACTTTGTCCAAAGGCATGTCCAAGCACCGGGCAGCCCAGTAGAGCCCAGTGCTTCAGGCCACTCTGACTCTCTCAACACCACCTCCCCGGATAACAGCGCTGGGTCCAGCAGTTTTGTTGGGTTGCGTGTGCTGGCTAAGTGGTCATCCAACTCGTATTTCTATTCTGGGACTATCACTCGAGACCTGGGAGAGAACCGTTTCCGCCTTCTATTCGATGACAACCAGGAGTGTGAAGTACAAGGAAAAGAGATATTGCTCTGTGACCCCATTCCTGTAGAGACGGAAGTTACCGCCTTGACTGAGCAGGAGTACTTTAATATAGGTAAGCAGGAACAAATAAAACACTACAGAACCATTACCTGTCTGAAACTATCTTGATTCTGTCTCTGCTGTTCAGGTGTGGTGAAGGATCATAAGACTCAAGGCTCTGAGTTCCTTTACTGTGTGGAGAAAGATGGTCAGCGTAATTGGTACAGCAGAACGTCTGTGATTCTCAGCACGGAGCAAGGCAGCCGCCTGAGGGAGCAGTATGGACTGGGACCCTATGAACCATCTACACCCCAAACCATGGCCTCTGAAATCAGCCTTGGTGAGTCTTCAACTGGCCTGTGAAAGTGGAAACAAGTTCTGGTTTCAGGCTAACTATGGAAACAAACATCTACTATAATTCTTCAGAATATGTGAAATATACTTTTTGAATGCCCTGTGCTTTTTGACTAAATGGTGTAAAGGATCTACCAGCAGGCGTTAACTGATCCAAGCCAAACTTTAACCTCTTGGTATGCCTACTACTAAATGTCTTTGTCACACAAGTTGAAACTGCACTACTTTTTTGTTGGTGTCACAGTGTTATTTTGTATTCAGATAACCTGGTAGAAGGAAAGCGGAGACGCAGAGGCAACTCCAGTGGAGCAGGGACCCCTACCCGCAGCTCCAGCAACAGCCAGAGAAACCCTGGGCCTTCTGGGAAACGAAAACTCATCAGCGGCACAGAGGAAGAAAGGACTCCTGCAAAGAGAGGACGCAGGGGGGGAGGGGCCAGAGTGGGTACGGTGCCCCTTGCAGACAGACTTTATTAATTCAACAATATGGACCAAAGCATTTGCTCAATTTTAGAAGAATGTTTTATTATATGCCTGATTTTATTGACTAATTTGGTCTTTTATTGTTTTGGGTTTTTAACATTTTATTCATTCTAGTGGCTATGACATTGTTTTACATTTATCTGTAAATGTATTTTAAAATGAACTCAGACGTATGAATGACAAACCGTAGTGCTTTTCTCCCCCGTGTTTCCAGTGTTGTATGTAACTGTCAGATTTTACAATGTAAAAACATTTGATAAACCTGAAGTTGTGAATATTTACTGCTTTTGATACAACTAAATGGAGTGCAGATCTCCAGCTCTAAACCGCAACTGGTATGTGGCATAACATGCTTTTCCTTTTGTGTGGGTGAGCACTCAACAGGGTTATATGGGAGTGGTGCCTGTTTAATTCCTCACAGTTAATTTTACTTTATGGCCTCTTTGTTACCCAACCATGCCATACTTATTATCATTTGAACAGGACAGCGTATTGCTGCTTGTAACACATCTGGGAGCGGAGCAGACCTGCCCCCTGACCCTAATGACCTGGTGGCAACACATGGACCTCTGCCTGAAAACTCTTCTCTCTTTATGGGGTTTGTCTTCATGCTGACGGTATCCTCTGAAACCGACAGAGACTCCAACCACCAGCCAAGCGATGAGGATGAAGGTGAGGGTTAGAACAAATGAAGACTGCATGTGTGATTGATGTTGAGTGTGCTTTGTTTTTAAGGCTCTGTGCTTTGCTTGTGATATAAAGGTAAGCATCATACAACATATGAAGCAATGATGTTAAGGCAGCAAAATTGGCCTTTAGTATGGTTTGTGGAATGTTGAAAAAAATGGCTTGATTTCTAACACGATTTGTACTTCATTTTTACACTAACTTTCGAACGAAATGAATGCTTGTATCCTGGCTAAATTAAATTGATCAAAAGTGACAGCAAAGACATTTATAATGTTGCAAATGATTTTCAAATTCAAAGGTTTTCAAATATATGCTGTTCTTTTGAATTTTCTATTCATCAAGAATCCTGAAAAAAAAAGTTTCCACAAAAATATTAAGCAACTGTTTTTAACATTAATTATAAGAAATGTTTCTTGAGCACCAAATCAGCAGATTAGAATGATTTCTGACGAATCATGTGACATTGAAGACTGGAGTAATGATGTTGCCATCACAGGAATAAATTACATTTTAAAATGTATTTAAATGCAGGACAGTTATTTCAAATTGTAATAATATTTTGCAATATTTGTCCTTTTTTTAAAAAAATAAAAAGTATAAATAATTGCAGCCTTGGAGCGTATAAGACTTGGAAGTGTGTGCGTTTGTACGTAACGTGATTCCTTTTTCTCTCTTGTTAAGAGTACGAGACAGCGCCATACAACAAACACTATACAGTGAGACAGCTGGAGGCGGGAGGAGGAATGATCCTGCTTGACTTCAATGAAGAACAGGTGAGCTCGTATTCAGCACCACTCTCTGTCCTGCAAGAGCTGCACAGCATCCTTTTTTTTGCTGTGTACGCATGTTTTAAGTGTGTGTTCTGCATCGTCAGTGTAAAGCAGCCTATCAGAGCTTGCTGATTGCCGACCAGCACTGTCGGACCAGGAAGTACCTGCTGTGTGTGGCAGGTGGAGTTCCCTGCGTGTCTCAGATATGGGTGAGGGACTGTTGCCAGGAGAAGAAGCTGGTCAACTATAGGAACTACCTACTTCCTGCCGGTCTGGGGCCAGAGGGACACATCGTGGAGTGGTAAGAGCTTGTCTTGTTTGGATATGACTTATTTTCTCATCTAATATTAATTCAAATAGTTCTTCAAAACCAGCCTTTAGGACTGACTGTTGGCAAACAATCCATTGTTTCGTGGTAATCAACCAGTGTATCTACACAAGTTGCCATAGTAATGAGTTCAGCCTCTGCATGATGCCAAGAAGCTTGAGAGAGTACTGAAAACTGGACATTTTCAGAACCGAATCAAGTCAATAATGTATTTTATACATTCATCCATTTATGATTTTGGAATGCTGTCACCATTAAATAAATATTGAATGTCACATGAGTGTAAATAAGTGAATTCATACACTGCTGTAAACAGTAATGCCCTGTTTGACTGAAGTCATGTCTCAAATAATGGGGAATGAATGTTTAGACCAAATTGCATTTCCAAAAATCTGAATTTAGTAAAATTTTAAACCACCTTCCTGTAGATTTAAAAACTGCTATCAGAAATGCCCCAACTCTTAAGTTGTTTCAACAAATCGTTTAAAAACTCATCATAAACTTATGTAAATTGTCTTTTTGTGAATACATTTTTCTTGCTCTGTCCTCAGGCATCCTCGCTCTAACCCTTTTAAAGCTCTGAAGGTGGTGCTCATATCAGAAGATCGTGTTGATTTGTGGACCTCTTTGCTTTCCATGGGTGGTGCAGCAAATGTTCATCACCATAAAGAAAACCAAGACCTTTCTGGTGGGTAATAGTACACTTAGTTCAATGGAAAAATGTATAGAGCTTTAAAGATGCACAAATAACTTGTGACAAAGGGATTAGAAAACCATATTCAATAGTGTGATGTCAATTTTTGACAGACATTCCAAACATGAAGTTTGATCTGGCAGTGACATCATCTGCATGTCCGTCTGAGGAACTGAAACGACGTGTGGTCCCGGACATGCCTGTTGTCTCTCTGGAGTGGCTGATTCAGAGCTTGATCTGTGGAAAGTGCCTCAGCTATAACGGCGACTCTGAATTCTGTCACAACCCGTCTACGTGAACCGTTGTCCTCTGGTGTCTTCTCACATGTATTTTAAATGTCCTCTGTGTTTTAGTGCATGCATTTTACTGTACATAGTTTTTATGAAATAAAATCGTTATTGTTTCACTTGTCTGTTTTCTTTCATAACCGAGATTACAAAGCATATGGTATTTACAAATTTTAAGTATTCACGTTCATGGAATAGTTTTATTTTTTTTAAACGGCATAAGATAGTTGAGATTGCAAAAAAAGCAGGACACAAACTGTGACCATGACAAGAGTCACATCTTACAATCATTTAAAGGAACACGCCACTATTTTTGAAAATAGGCTTTTTAATACAGTTGAGTTTTACCGTTTTCAAATCCATTCAGCCGATCTCGGGGTAGCACTTTTAGCTTAGCTTAGCATAGATCATTGAATCTGATTAGACCGTTAGCATCTCACTCAAAAATGACCAAAGAGTTTCGATATTTTTCCTATTACCTAGCTGGGGACTATTTTCAGGCGCTGCGTAATATCATTGTGCCTGCTGCACCCATGGTACGGCAGCAAAGTTCCTTGATTATTACGCCAGAATGAGAGTATAGTTCCTAGCCATATCGGCCTAGAACGGCGCAACTTTTCATTTTCCGTCGGTCTTAGTACACGATGTAACTACAGAAGAGTTTAAATAGGAAACATATCCAAACTCTTTGGTCATTTTTGAGCGAGATGCTAATGGTCTAATCAGATTCAATGATCTATGCTAAGCTAAGCTAAAAGTGCTACTGCCAGACCCGGAGATCGGCTGAATGGATTCGAAAACGGTAAAACTCAACTGTTTAACTCTAGGGGAGTTGGAAAATGAGCCTATTTTCAAAAATAGTGGCGTGTTCCTTTAAATATACAAATGAACACACTTATTGTATTAGGCATGTTTTAATAAGCTGAGATGCACCAATGTATGAATTTTGCCTCGAATCTTCAGGTGCCGCTTTATAGCCCAAAACTGTAGGACAACAAACAACATGAGTTACATTTTTACATGAATCGGCTCACTAAAGCACTGTATCAGTCATGCCTACCTTCCCAGCGTGCCTCCTGCCTGTGTGTAGTATTTGTTGTAATCTAGTCGTAACAGCAGTTGTGCCAAATCAGAGTTTATCTGGTGGTTACGTACACTGGAAAGAATCTTGAAGAGCAGGAATGACTGACGACTAAACCCCTGTAAAGTAAAAGTACAGCAATCTGACACAGTTGATATCTATCAAACCCCCCCCCCCCCCAAAAAAAAAATCATACTTGGGTAAATCCTAATTATGAGATAAAAAGTTGAAATTGTGAAATACAATGTTTGTTTTTATTTTGACAATTTATGATATTATAACAAAAAGTCCTGATTTTGAAATGATTCCAAATCCAAGTTTGTATTTATGGAAGCCCATTTCTTATCAAAATATTTGGTAAATCATAATTATGACGTAAAAACTACATTTTGACAATTACGAATTAGTATGTCATAATTTTGACTTTTTAAATTTTTAGATCTCACTTTCAACTGCCATGATTGACTTTATCTCAATTTCAATTCGTCATAATTATGAGTAGGGTTTTTGTCACAATTTCAGTTTCATAATTGAAATTAATAATTTCAAAAAAACAGTTTTAATTTCAATTATAACCATTTTGACTTTTTACTCATAATTTTGACTTTTCACTTAGTATCTCCTAATTTTAAGTCTTTACTGACTCATAAGTTTGACTTTTTAGATCATAATTATGACCATCATAACCGACTTTTCACTTAGTAGCTCAGTTTTGACTTTCATAACTCAATTTCAGTTTTTGTCATTATGACTTTCTTCAGTTTAGATTGTCAAAATCATGACTTTTTATGTCAAAATTCAATTTAAGTTCAATTCAATTCAAGTTTATTTGTATAGCGCTTTTCACGATACAAATCGTTGCAAAGCAACTTTACAGAAAATTAAGTTTCTACGATATATTTTGTAGTAGCTTATCAGTGGTGACTGTCAGTTAATGTACATATGGCAGAAATGTATGGAAAAATCTATTAAAGATGTAATCAAACAGACGATGAACACTATTAATAGCAATTATTATAGCAAAATTTGGTAAGTATGTTGTTTCAGGGTTGGCATCAAAATTATGACTTACCAAAGCATGATTTTTTCCCCTCATGAGGCAGAAACGGGCTTCCATAAATAGACATGCATTTGCAATAATTCCCGAAAATGATTCACACAAGCAAAGCTACCTTCACAAGAATATCCAGCTGCGCAGCTCCTCTTTCATCCAGAGGCCCAAGATTCTGACTGACCAGGGAACAAAAGTTGTGACAGAGGTCCAGAATCTCATTCAAACAGTGGAACACCTGGGAGAGAAATAGATTTAATCACTGCCTAGATTATTTACATAAAGGGAGGTTTGTTACGGACACTCACAGGCTTGAGCAGAATGAAAGATTGTGCAAGGAGATTGCTGAGGAAATGGTCATGGGCCAATCGAATGCTCTCAAAGTCTCGTGTGGCGTTGATCTGTTGTAAGAGCTGTGAAAACTGGGACTCTAGAACGTCCACCTGAAGAGCAATGGAGGAAACACCAAAATAATTATATTATGCATTATTTACTAAAATGTGTGTGTTGTATGCAAATTGAGAGACAGCCAACTAGATGATTCAAGTAGTAACCTGAAGGTAATACTGAAGGTTGTCCACTAGGAAGGCCATGTGGTTGCGGAGTCTCCATTTAACGGCATCCATCTGGTTTGATTTAAGATGCTTGCGCTGCATCTGCAAGGCCCAGCAGTGCTGCAGCTCAGACTGGACTCGACGCACACTCAGCAGGTAACGGAACACTACGTTGTACCTGAAAGTCAAGCAAGGGTTAACTTCATATAAGCTGCTGTGGTGTTCATACTGTTTGATTAATGGAACAATAATATTAAATTGCTAACATAAAACAATGACCTACTTCTCCAACACAGCAGGAGTGAAAAGAATATGTAGGGGCCACTGAACCTTGTAAGCCAATCCCAGCGCTGCCCAGCCAGTAGGTGGAGCCTCACGAGGAGAAGTCTCCTGTGGAGGAGTGGTGCCCTCTCGATTCCCAGAAGCCTCTGCAAGCATAATGATCCAATTCTCAGAAGTAATTAATATGTGGAAAGATGTGGTGAAGGATAAAATAGCTAGTCAGGAGGTAATACCTTTGCATTCTTTCCCTTGGTAGTCTATGGTGAGATGCAGGAGGGGCAAAAGATTGTCATCGTCTAGCAGCACTTTATGAGCCGCTTGCTGAAATGCCACATTGACATCTGAAACAAATGTAGCAAATTCAGAGGAATGATGAAGATGTAAGAAGAATTTGAAGAAGCTGACCTCATGGTTTATAAGAAAAGTGTCTTAATACCATGTTCAGTAACGGCAGATGGTGGGGTTTTCAGCATATGCTGAGCAAGGTCAATGAAGACCTGGTACAGTTCACCTCGCCCCAACAAGTAGAAGTCCTTTACGATCTAAAACAACAACAAAATATTCATTGTGAAAGCAAAAGTGCACCTGCAAAAGCATATCATCAACAAACAGCTCTTTACCTTCAGCTGGCCCAAAAGATCGGATTCTTCAACCATCAAAGTCCATAAGTGCTGCAGAAAAAAGACAAACACAACTGCATCTAGACACCTGCTAGTGCTGTTAGATTGGGTGAATCTCATGAAAACACGCTCCTATTTTAGCTTGAAAAAACTTAAATACATTTCCAAAGATTTTCCTTTACATTTTTTCCTTGATCCTCCTGGTGCTTCAGTATAGACCCTGGGCAACCACATGAGGGCAGCGTTACGAAACTAAACCATCACAAACGCAACTGAACAACAGCAGCAAAATGCTCTTTAGCTCACCAGCTCGGGATGGGCTCTGGTTGTGATTTTCAAACATTTGTACCGACTCCCCAACAAATAAGATTTTTTCGGCTACTCGAACAGGAATGTATGAGGGAAGCATCTCCACACGCAAGGAGAACTGCTGCAGGGATGGTGCGAGCATGTTCTCTTCCTCGATCAGTCTCTATAGAGGGACAGTAATGAACAGAAGACAGTTTAATCCTAGAAGAACATGTATAAATTGTGATAAATCACAGCCAGGAACTGCTGTAACATGCCAAATTTCATTTAATGTTCAAGCAGAGTTTGGCTGATTATCGTACTCTACTAACACTTGCAGGCGAGTGTTGTAATCAGAATCAGAAATCAGAAAGAGCTTTATTGCCAAGTATGTTTGCACATACAAGGAATTTGTTATAGTGTCACAAGCTTCCAGTACACTGAGACAACAACAACACACAGATAATAAAAGTGAGATGTGAATAAAATACACATGCATAAATATAAACCACAAAAAATAAAAGAATAAATTGTATGTACAGGTGTGCTATAGATGGAATAGGAATATAATAAAATAAAATAAAATAAAACTAGTACACCATTCTGCTTTTTCATAAGTGTGAAAGTGGGTGTACAGTATATCATATTCTTATGCTTTACAAACTTCAGCATTTGTAATGAACCTTAGACAAATCAGTAATGTAATAGCAGATGTTTTGCCAGGGACCAATTTATTTTTTGGAAACTTCATAAAAGTGTAAAGTGAATAAGGCTACTGAGAGCAAGTTAAAGGCACAATATGTAAGATTTTTTTTATTAAAATATCCAAAAACCACTAGAACAGTGTTACATATTTTGCTGACTTGTGTACTTACATTATCCCAAATGTTTCGAAGAGTGTTTAAATCCAGAGAAATAAGCAATTTTAGCTAGTGACACGGACCGTGTCTATAGTGTCATTGTGTCGCCTGCCAATGACGTCATAACCCCTCGATTTCCGGTTTTGGTTTGTAGAAAACATGGAAACACTAAAGACGCATTAATATGGTGTGCGTTTTAATAGACCGAAGACGACCGCACAGAGTAGCATTATAAGAGAACTTTCAAATGTATCTAGTATGATAAAACAGCGCTGTTTTACTCCACATACGCACGACCGAAAGGAGCGGAAGCGGTCGACTGTGGCATAATAAAAGCTCCGCTGCTTTCGAGCCATGTGTCACGCTCGTTCAGCGGCCTCGTTTCGCTTCGACGGCTTTCAGCCTCACCCTGCTTCATTCTACTACGTTAATAAATCATTAGCTCATCCATGAACATGATTTATGCCCGAGTCCTGTCGAATTGCTTCGGCTGTGGGGATGAAGACGACAACTCCCATGATTCCACACTCAGTCACGGCGTCATCAAACTACACCTTTGCCTCTTTGTTTATTTTGAATACGCGCCCTCTAGCGGCGAAAATTACATATTGGTCCTTTAATGTGCCTCAACTTGACCATTTCAGTTCATTTTTATAGGACTCAGACGAGTATGTTCTATTCGGTTGTTTTGATAGAGGCAAACAAGCTACAATTCTAGTTTCAACATTATTTATTCTTTAGACACTGATCTTTAAATAAAAAGTATCAGCTGTATACAAAGTGACCAACATTTGGTTTTCGACCACTGAAAACAGGTGTTATTCAACAATCTGAACATGAAGCCGCATTGGCCTCCCCATATCTCTGGGACTGAACGATGTAGGGCCTTGAAAATGAAGATTCCAAAAGAAAAGTTAATTAAGAGCTGGAATCTAAAATCATACTGCAATATCTTTAATACTTCTTAAGTTCCAGACATGCAAATTTTGGAAAAATAATCTTTATGGCACTCAGATAGGTGTGTTCAATACAGTTGTTTTGACAGAAAGAAACAAGATACATTTCTAGTTTCTATTTGTTCCTCTTTAAAAGAAAAGAAGAATCATCTGTACGCAAAGTAACTTCCATTTAGTTTTTGACCACTGAAAATGTGTACAATTTAACAATATGCTTCTGGAGCCATAATGAAATTCCAATTTCGTTGGACCTGAACCATATAGGGCCTTAAAATTGAAGATGCCAAAAGGAAAGTTTAAGACCCAAAATATAAAAGGGCATTAAGATACCTTTAATACTTCTTGAGTTACAGGCATGTAAACTTTGGAGAAAACAAAAATTGAAAGGTGTTTTTTCCCCATTTTTGAATGGTCACCGTTGGCACAAAATGCAACAAAGATTGCTAAAGTCAACAGATTTTACTAATAGACCTACCAATCTGTGTGTAAAAATAACATAATGATGTTGCCAGCTTTCTGAAGTCATTTTCACCCCCCTGTAATTTGGCTCTGAATTTCAGAGGGAAAATGTCTTTTTGACCCTCCTCTACAAACAGGGTATCTGCAGGATTTTTAAGCTCAAATTTAAGACTTTAAGACCTTTTTTTAAGACCTGCACAAATAAAATTAATACCATATGAGCGGGGTAGAGCAATGTCTATTTTAACATATGACTGTAAAAAGCATGATTTACAGGTTTTCACAAAACTAAAAGTTTCATAATATGATAAACTTCACATTTCAGCCGTATAACCATTTTTAAGAAAATGGATGAATCAAAAGAATGAATTATTATATTAATTTAAACAATTATTATAATCAATCGATTATTATATTAATTAAATATTTTTTACTGTCTTAACTGTTCACATTTACAACTCTGTGTGTTTGCAGCGTAAAAACATGGGTTGATTTTCACATTGGTCTAAATCAGGGGTGTCAAACTCAGTTCCTGGAGGGCAGGAGCCCTGCAGAGTTTAGATTCAACCCTAATTAAATGCACCTGATCCAACTAATTCCTTCAGGCTTGTTTGAAAACTACATGGTATGTGTGTTTGAGCAGGATTAGAGCAAAACTCTGCAGGGCTCCGGTCCTTCAGGAACTGAGTTTGACACCCCCGATCTAAACAAAAACAGCAGAAAAAGAATATTCAAATTCATTTTCTGCCAGCAGGTGGCGCTTTCAGAATGGCAGAAACAAATTCATCAACACTTTTTCTGGATGCAAAATATCGCTGATTTTTTTTAGGTTTCAAGGCCTAAAAATATATGAAATAAATCCACTTTACACTTTTATAAGGCCTCCAAAAATAACTGGCAAAACTTCTATTATAATGATTTTATCTTAGCAATGTAATCTGATCATTTTTCTAAAAATATAAATTTTTAATGAGTAACATTTTATATACAAAAAAAATGTTTTCTTTCAAAATATTTTTTTTATTTACAAAAAAATGTGTCACGCTCGTTCAGCGGCCTCGTTTCGCTTCGACGGCTTTCAGCCTCACCCTGCTTCATTCTACTACGTTAATAAATCATTAGCTCATCCATGAACATGATTTATGCCCGAGTCCCGTCGAATTGCTTCGGCTGTGGGGATGAAGACGACAACTCCCATGATTCCACACTCAGTCACGGCGTCATCAAACTACACCTTTGCCTCTTTGTTTATTTTGAATACGCGCCCTCTAGCGGCGAAAATTACATATTGGTCCTTTAATGTGCCTCAACTTGACCATTTCAGTTCATTTTTATAGGACTCAGACGAGTATGTTCTATTCGGTTGTTTTGATAGAGGCAAACAAGCTACAATTCTAGTTTCAACATTATTTATTCTTTAGACACTGATCTTTAAATAAAAAGTATCAGCTGTATACAAAGTGACCAACATTTGGTTTTCGACCACTGAAAACAGGTGTTATTCAACAATCTGAACATGAAGCCGCATTGGCCTCCCCATATCTCTGGGACTGAACGATGTAGGGCCTTGAAAATGAAGATTCCAAAAGAAAAGTTAATTAAGAGCTGGAATCTAAAATCATACTGCAATATCTTTAATACTTCTTAAGTTCCAGACATGCAAATTTTGGAAAAATAATCTTTATGGCACTCAGATAGGTGTGTTCAATACAGTTGTTTTGACAGAAAGAAACAAGATACATTTCTAGTTTCTATTTGTTCCTCTTTAAAAGAAAAGAAGAATCATCTGTACGCAAAGTAACTTCCATTTAGTTTTTGACCACTGAAAATGTGTACAATTTAACAATATGCTTCTGGAGCCATAATGAAATTCCAATTTCGTTGGACCTGAACCATATAGGGCCTTAAAATTGAAGATGCCAAAAGGAAAGTTTAAGACCCAAAATATAAAAGGGCATTAAGATACCTTTAATACTTCTTGAGTTACAGGCATGTAAACTTTGGAGAAAACAAAAATTGAAAGGTGTTTTTTCCCCATTTTTGAATGGTCACCGTTGGCACAAAATGCAACAAAGATTGCTAAAGTCAACAGATTTTACTAATAGACCTACCAATCTGTGTGTAAAAATAACATAATGATGTTGCCAGCTTTCTGAAGTCATTTTCACCCCCCTGTAATTTGGCTCTGAATTTCAGAGGGAAAATGTCTTTTTGACCCTCCTCTACAAACAGGGTATCTGCAGGATTTTTAAGCTCAAATTTAAGACTTTAAGACCTTTTTTTAAGACCTGCACAAATAAAATTAATACCATATGAGCGGGGTAGAGCAATGTCTATTTTAACATATGACTGTAAAAAGCATGATTTACAGGTTTTCACAAAACTAAAAGTTTCATAATATGATAAACTTCACATTTCAGCCGTATAACCATTTTTAAGAAAATGGATGAATCAAAAGAATGAATTATTATATTAATTTAAACAATTATTATAATCAATCGATTATTATATTAATTAAATATTTTTTACTGTCTTAACTGTTCACATTTACAACTCTGTGTGTTTGCAGCGTAAAAACATGGGTTGATTTTCACATTGGTCTAAATCAGGGGTGTCAAACTCAGTTCCTGGAGGGCAGGAGCCCTGCAGAGTTTAGATTCAACCCTAATTAAATGCACCTGATCCAACTAATTCCTTCAGGCTTGTTTGAAAACTACATGGTATGTGTGTTTGAGCAGGATTAGAGCAAAACTCTGCAGGGCTCCGGTCCTTCAGGAACTGAGTTTGACACCCCCGATCTAAACAAAAACAGCAGAAAAAGAATATTCAAATTCATTTTCTGCCAGCAGGTGGCGCTTTCAGAATGGCAGAAACAAATTCATCAACACTTTTTCTGGATGCAAAATATCGCTGATTTTTTTTAGGTTTCAAGGCCTAAAAATATATGAAATAAATCCACTTTACACTTTTATAAGGCCTCCAAAAATAACTGGCAAAACTTCTATTATAATGATTTTATCTTAGCAATGTAATCTGATCATTTTTCTAAAAATATAAATTTTTAATGAGTAACATTTTATATACAAAAAAAATGTTTTCTTTCAAAATATTTTTTTTATTTACAAAAAAAAATTCAAAACATATAATATATAATATTGAAAAACATATATATATATATAGCAGATGTTTTGGCAGGGACCAATTTATTTTTTGGAAACTGTAAAGTGTAAAGTGAATTTTATATATAGGGGAGAGCACGGTGAGTTGAGCCAGTTTTTACTTACGCTGTGTTTAAAGCGAGCGCATGACAGTAATGGGTCCAATTTAAATATGTTCAGGATGTGGTGCATCCTTGGGAATAATCAATTTGGATCTAAAATAAACTGCTTTCAAAAAAAAAAAAAGTGGTCTCTTGGCTCAACTTTTCGCCAGTGAGGGGTAAATTGAGTCTTGGGAGAGGGTAAGTTGAGCCACCTGGAATTAAAATTTACCACTGATTATACCGAATATTTTGACTTTATGCAAGGGAAATTCAATAAAAATGACTTCCTAAAATCTCTGTGTGAGCCTTGATGGACTGGCCGTTCATGCAGTGAGTTTCCCCACCTGTTGCTCAAGATGCTAGGCTAGGCTCCAGGTGAATAAAATGGATAACCCAATTTTGTTTAAGGTTGTCTACAAACAAGGGGTGGCTTAACTTCCCCACAGGCTCAAATCACCCCGCTCTAACTTATTTAGTTGCTCACCAAATCCTGCAGCTCACGGAGCTGTTTTCCACTCAGCCCTCCGATACCCAGGTCCTCCTCCTCTTCCTCCTGTGCAGCTGTGGCTCCGCCTGCGCTGGGGCCCTGCTTGACAAAGAACTCCTCACTCTGATCCAGCAGCAACCCGTGCAGCATCCACGCAGCCAGCTGCTTATACATCACGCCATGACACACTGCAAGAATCCTGCAAAACAGACACTACCATTAGAGCAGTAAAAATAGAATTCTGTGTCTTACATTCCACCACCACGTGCATTAGGGGGTTTTTAGTTGGGTTTTTGTGAGCTCACTTCTCTAAGGCCATCCTGACAGGAGGCAGTCCTCCACAGCTGTGCTTGTACACAGTCTCTAGGATCTGGCAGCCATGAATCTGTTGAAACAAGAAAGTTTCAGAAAGGTTATTATTTTCAACCATGCACTCTTCTAATCATTTACCGCAAAGTGGTGGCTCCCGTCAAGCTACCAACCTTCTGAGACTTGATGGTCTCCACAACAACCATCACAGAGGGGAAGAGAAGCTGAAACTAAACAACAGAAGAAATTGCAAGTTAGTCATATACAGTGGGGTTGAAAACTTGTGTTCATATGAAAAATCTGGGACTTAGTTTGATATAATTTAAACTAATATTTTACAAATAATTTAAGCAACTATATACACACACTACTGTTCAAAAGGTTGGTTTTGATTCTTTTAAAATAAGTATTTTATGCTCACCAAGGTTGCACTTATTTGATATAATATACAGTAAAAACATAATATTGTGAAATATTATTACAATTTAAAATAACCGTTTTCTATTTTAATATTTTTTTCCCTGTGATGGCAAAGCTACATTTTCAGCAGTCATTACTCCAGTCTTCAGTGAAGTCATTAGAAAATCATTCTAAATTAGAAATCATTCTGATATGCTGATTTGGCACTCAAGAAACTTTCTTATTATTATTATCAATGTTGAAAACAATTGTGCTGCTTTATAGTATTTTGGAAACCATATATATTTTTTAAAGAAATCTTATGTAACATTATAATCATTTGATCAATTTAATGGATTCTTGCTGAATAAAAGTATGAATTTCTTTCAAAAAATAATAAACCTTTCTGATCCCAAACTTTTGAACAATAGTGTAAATAGATCAATTAGGTCATTTAGCTTATTTCAGTGGATTGGATGTATAGGTAAAATATCTAGAAAGTTTGATTTACCTGTTCCAGCATGTAGTTTACGTGAGAAATGGAGAGGTGTGGATCACCTAAAAACTGTAGGGAAAATGTAAAGTTTAATAGTATTAACAATGTTTAATTTTATTATTATCTGTGCAAATACAGCCATAAAAGAACTTCAAATGTAAACTCCAAGTCTAACACCTCTTTTTCGAGGTCCAGTAAAGCGTGCCGATAGGGCTGCAGCATGGAGTTGAGCCCAGTGCAGAACGCCCGCAGGTAAATGCCATGAAGCCCAGACTGACTCGGCTGGCTGGAGTAATGCTCCTGTGAGACATGTAGATGAAATCACACTTCAGCCTTGATCTGATCATGTCCTTGACACACAATGCATGCAGAATACGCTCAGATTACCTGTTGGTGGACATGACCCGTGTGCTGCTCTATGAATTCTGTGAAGCGCACATAGTCAGTGCCCATTTTACAGAGCCGATTGAGGACACTGGTCTCACTGGGGTGGAGGAACGGAAGGTCCTGGGACACCTGTGATCAGAAACACTTGATTCACATTTTATACTAGCATACCACTAACATAGGACCACAATACTATTTCCATGGACATGGTATTTTTAAAAAATTACTTCAGAATGCCATTTCATGATAATAGCCAACCTTTTATGTATTGTTATATCATGGTATTCTCTGGAGTAACATGTAACTATCACTAGTAGGGGATTTAAAAACAATATATATATATATATAGGTGTGTGTGTGTGTGTGTGTGTGTGTGTATGTATATATATATATATACATATAAAATAAAAATACTGCATGCTAGCTAGACATTATCGTCCTACTTCCGAACATCCATAATGTAGTTTATCCAGTATAATACAGGTATACACACAAACATTATTAGGTGCATCACTGACAGAGTACAGCATAAAATAACGTTACCTGCAATCCATTCCGTTTATTCCAGGTGAATATTGTCCCTGGATATCCACTCAGAGCCAGCAGCAGCTCATGGATCATTTTGCCGGTGCTGTTAGTTAGATAGCGTATTCAAATGAAACACACGATAATAAAAATACAGATAGTAAGTTCTCATCATTAATATTTTCGCACCGCCGAAACCCCGGTCGCATGTTGATGACGCAGATCCCGAGCGCGACTGGGGAAGTGCTCAGCCAGCTCCACTGCACTTATATTTCACATAATATTTTTTACCACATACAGCTGATGAGGACTCATCTGCAGAGAATATATTTAGAGGTGAACAGAGCTTGCTTTCTCTTCACGATCTGCTGTAGAGTTTTTGGTGTGTTTTGCTGTTTCATTTATATTACATGTGTTGCTTCCACCTATAGCGACTGATTCGACTCATTGAAGTTAAGATTAGAGTTATGTTAATGCCTGCAGGGCGAGCACAGTGGTCATTTTAATGCATTACTAAAATGCTTTGGTAATTATAACGTGATAACTTATAATAATAATCTGGGCGAAGTCGAATGAAAACAAGCCTAAAACTACAATTAACTCAACACTGAGAACTCTAATGTAAAATTAAAATACATACTTATGATTATGTTTAAACTGTCCAGTCTGCAGCATTAAATACCTTGCCAACTACAGTTGAACTGTTTGTTTGTTTGTCTGTCTGTCGCTGGGAAACATGTCTACAATTTCAGTCCTTAGGCCATGAACCTGCTGTGTGGGACACCTTCTTTTTTATGAACTTCTCAAACTGACTTTTGGTTTTCAGTGATGGCGGCGGGGAGAGGAGGAGATATCGTCTCCGAGTTCCTCAGTCAGAATCCACACCTGGAGAACTGGGTGGAATCTTTAAGAGGACACTGTGAGACAAATAAACAGTGGCATGCCAGAAGAGAGTTTGTCCTGCGCAATATGGAGGACTTTCCTTCCATCCAACCTGGGATCCCAAGTCCTACTTTAGACAGACTTCTGTCTCGGTCCATGGTTTGGGCCAACCACGTGTTTTTAGGCTGTCGGTAATTGTTATTTTTGGATTTGGTTCTTTTTTTTTTTTTTTTTGAACACAAAATGCACTTCTTATTTCAGTTGTTTGCGGGTGAATGTCATGTATCTAATTTTTTGCTGAATCTTTTTTATTTTGAACACTACCGTTTGAAAGTCTGGGGTCAGAATGTTTGGCGGGGCATAGAGGAGAAACAATAATGTACAGTATGTGGAAAAGAATGTGTTTTTTGAACTTTAAACCGCATAAACATTTCATTACACCAAATAATGTTCTTTTTAGCAACATCATATGACCCCTTTAAAGAAATCAATACTTTCATTCAGCAAAAACACATTAAATTGATCAAAAGTGACAATAAATACATTTATAATGTTACAAAATATTTCTATTTCATTTAAATTCCTTTTGAATATATTCTTCAAAGAATCAGTTTTCACAAAAAAAATATTAAACAGCACAACCGTTTTTAACATTGATAGTAAAAATAAGACGTAATGGCTGCTGAAAAAACAGCTTTATCATCACAGGATTAAATTACATTTTAAAATACATTCAAATGTAAATTATTTTAATAATTTCAAATAATTTATTTGAATGATATCAAATAAATGTAGCCTTGGTGACTTCTTTAAAAAATCTTTCTGACCCCAAATTTTTGAAAGGTAGTGGACAATGCATACATAAAATGACAAATATAAAGCTCAAAGAACTGTCCTTATAATAAAGGTTAAAACGATGAAACAGTTTGTTTTATTTGTTATTAGTATGTTAATATTTGAAAAACGTCCACCAAAGAATAGTCACACCACACTTCTGATACATTTTAGACTTGATAGATAGACTTGATTGATCGTTAGACAGATAAGTTTTAGACTTGGTTTTTCAAATGATTTTTCTTTTTTTACTGAGAACACTATTATTTGTTATTGGCCCTAATGCAGATATCCACAGCCTGTAATGGACAAGGTAAATGAGATGGCAGAAGGAATCACTGTGATTGAAGCCCCTGTGCGAAAGACTAGAGATGAAATCATGGGGAAAACAAAAAGACCTGCAGTTTCAGGTAAATGGGCTATCTTTAATGTGTGTCATTGAATTAGTGTACACAACCGTTCAAAGGTTTGGGGTTAGCAAGTTTTTTTACAATGCTTTTAAAAGAAGTATCTTAATCAAAAGTGAAGTGAAAGTGAACGTTTGATATAAATACACTTTTATCTGAACTCAAAAATAACCTCTTCACCATTTTATTTCACTGAATCTTTTTGTAGTGAGTCTTATGTGTACTAGATGTGGACATTGAAATAATAGTACTTTTTATGATGTGCAATAATTGTACTATATGCTGCTGCTTAATAAGTGCAATAATTTTGTTTTAGATGCTGCTAATTACTATGTGCATTATTTAATATTTATATGCTGCTGTCATTCCTTTTAGTGCTATATTCTTTTAAATTAACACTGTTGCAGTTTTTATTATATATATATTTTTATACTGATTTTATGGTACGTGTTTAGTTTAGTGCAGTATTTATGAGCCAGTGGAACGGAATTTCGTTCATATGTGCATTCTGTATGTACAGCTGAATGACAATAAAAAAGCTACCTACCTAAAAAATACACTAAAAACTGAATATTGTGAAATATTATACCATTTCCATTTTCTTATTATTATCAATGTTTAAAACAGGTGTGCTGCTTAATATTTTTGTGGAAAACGTGGTTTTTTTTAACAGATAGTTCAAAGGAATACCATTTATTTCAAATATAAATATTTTGTAATGAACTGAACGTCACTTTTGATCAGTTTAATGTGTCCTTACTGAATAAAAGCATGAATTTCAAATTGACCTCAAATTTTTGAACAGTAGAGTAATACAGAATGTTTGATCACTGATTTACACTGAGCTCTTTAACTGTATTTTGTAGCAGTGGATGCTGATGATTCCCAGAGTAAGAAGGCTAAACCCAACGATACAGACGTTAAAGCTCATGCGAAGAGTGTTGGCCGTCCAGCTGCCAGTACTTTCAAATCGGGCCCTCCGCCGGGGGCTCCTGCAGAACACCAGCCCTTTTTTAATCGACTCTATAAGGCAGTTGCTTGGAAGCTTGTGTCTGCTGGTGGCTTTGGCCCCAACTTGGAACACTTTGAAATCTTGCGCAGTTGTGTGGAGTCATGTAAGGCCAGTCTTGCTTGTGTGTTTGTTCCACTCAAAGACATTCCTGACCTGCCTATGGGACGTACCCAGAAAGAAGGCCAGGTGTGTGAACTGCGCTGCTGCACCGTCTACATGGGTACAGGCTACGGGCGCGATGAGTGTGCCGCCAGGGCTATGGCCTCCAAGGAAGCACTCAAAGTGTTTCAAGGGCAAAAAGTTACAGTGAAAGTTTGCCGCCGCAGGTTCCAAGGACAAGACGTTGACGATTTGGTTCTGCTGGATGAACAGTCCAGGAGCCAGGTTTTCCCTCCGGCTCTCAGCTACCCCTTTCAGGAAGACCAGTAGAGCTTCATTCATATGCCACAATGACATAAGGTTGTAGATTCACCTGTGGCAACTGTGAAATCGTTTCCAAAGAGTTTCATTTGTTGCAGTCATTCTCATTCAGAATAGCACTGTGGAGAAGGACTGGTAGGAATACAGTAGTTTGTAAAAGTGATCAAAAAAGGAGTTTTGCGCCTTGTAAAATGCTTCCGCTGTTGCTTTAGAGTCTTGTTTGTGGTTTTGAAGTTTAGATGGTTTAGATCTTCATGGTTGTTGAACATCCATAACTGTGGTTATAGTTCAGTCTGACCTTGAAAAATGTTGGTGGTTTCAAAAGCTGCTATTTTAATTGATAAATGTCAATTGTCAATAACTTTTCTTTAGTTTATTTCTAAAACATTACATTGAGAATATACAGTCTGCAGTTGAATCTGTGGTTGTGATTGTCTATGTCCAATATTCAAACAGATAATAATCACAAAAATAAATCTTGGATTAATACATGAATGGTAACAAAATTGTAATGTTATACTCCGTTTTGATTGTTAAAAGAAAACATTACAGTAAATAATAATACAGTAAAGAAATAAGATCTCATTGTTAGCTTAATATCTAAATTTCATGACACTTTTAAATTTTTTTCCCTTGCTTCACATATATTGGACAGTTTTTATTTATTAATACATGTCATAACCACTTTCTGTGATGAGGTTTGGTAATGTTTGTTGCTGTTGTTGTGGACCTTTAGGCATATTCTTTGAATATCAAATAAAAACTGCCATCTGTTTCAAACCAGGGTTAAATGTTCAAGCAGAAGTATCAATGAAGTGTAAGTGTCTGGTTAAATGTATCTCAGTCTAATGTTAGAAAAAGCTAGCTTTAATTGAGGTTTAACTTGGGTTATATTCTGATTTCATAAAAAGATGTGACGTTCTGTCTATCCGTACTGTTTTGTTTGGTAGCGGCATTTAAAAAAATAAAAAATCTTGAATCTCTAGAAATCTCACACTTGATGGGGTGGTTCCAAATTGGCCGCTATATGGCATTGTAATAACTACAACTGCTTTTTTAGTTTATAATTCTGTAACTATAAGTCAAAGGATTGTAGATTTACAGTTTACCCCTAGGTGAATTGTTCACCAGTTTAAATGGAAAAACTCTTCCAAGGCTCTTGGTTTGAAATCAAACTTGGCACACATCATCCCAAGAACCTCATGACCAAAAAAAAAATTTATTAAAATGTTGCGAAGACATAAGCCAGTTAAAACAGTTTGGAATTGCCTATTTTCACGAATTGACCTTATGATAAATACTTATGGATTTACACATTTTTTGTTGCATATGAAAATGTAAATGTTTAACAAGTGTCCACATATATGTTTTAATCACAGTTTTTATTGAGGTTTTTCTTTCTTTCTTTCTTTCTTTTTACTTCTCTTTCTGTCTAACAGTAAGAGGGAGTGATTTCCTCAGTCAGTTGTCAAAATAGACAGCATATATTGCTGTTAACTGTTTTTATCAAACACTAACTAGAAGTAAACATTCAAGATGGACTTTGCTGTAGAAATTATATCAAAGCCACATTATATTTGAAAAGATGGTTGGAGATACAACTATTTTAAAATCTGGAATCTGAGGGTGCAAAAAAATAAAAATACTGAGAAAATCGCCTTTAAAGTTGTCC